AGAAGTCACGGATCTCCCTTGTCCATTCATACTTTTCTCAGAGCTACTTGTACAACGGTTACTCGCAAAGTGTAATGCCAAGAGATGTTGCGTTGCCCGTGCCGGAAGATGTGGCCTCAAAAGTTTGTAATCCGCCTATGGTTCGTGAACCACCAGGTAGACCAAAACTGTCACGGATAAAAGGTGCATTGGAAAATGCTATGGAGCGAAACAGGCCTAGAAATGAAAGCTTGTGTGGTAATTGTCACCAACACGGCCATAATCAGAGGACTTGCAAAGCTTAAATGTATGTGTAGTACAATTTCTATCTTTTCATAATGACTCGGTTTCTTGTACTGAAAACAGTAATGTAATAACCCATCGATCATGTTTATACTACAAAAAGATTGTCAAATCATTACCTTAAAAAAATGGTCATATAAGTCTACCATACTTTCGAAGGACCACCAAGTTTACCATGGTCATACATACATGGTCCTTTCAAAGTATAGACCTAGTTACATCTAATTTTCGCGCACTTAGTTAATATGTCTGCGACAACAAAATATACAAGTCTACCGTCAAGATTTAAATGTGTGTGATAACAAAATAATTAAATCTACGATGACAAAAGGACTTGTCAAAATAAGTCTACCATGACCTCCAAAATAAGTCTACCATCACCCCCAAAATAAGTCGACCATGACCTCCAAAATAAGTCTACCATCACCCCCAAAATAAGTCTACCGTCACCCCCCATTTCACTGTAGAAAATCCGTCTGCAAAGGAACCTTATCATCTGATTGAGCACGAGGGTTTGGATCAGATAACTGAACAACCTCATCTTCTGGTATCTCGTCCATAATCTCAGCTGCAAGTTTGAGCGAATAGCAACCACATTGGAATCACACAAGCCATCGAAACTATGGCCAAGAGCTAAAAACTCGATATATTTCAGCGTATACATACCACAATCACCTGATTGCTGATTATGCGGTATAGTTTTGATCCTGTATACATTCCATGCCTGCTCACTCATTATCTTCCTTTCAGCAACGTGTGCAACCTGCTTTAGCAACATCGGAATCATCTTTGCGTATGGCTTGCATGTTTCTTTGATGTAGTTCTCGCTGTACAGAGTGATTATGCTATCGTAGACTTTCACCTTTTTTTGAACCAAGTCTACCACAACAGCCACCTAGTGGTCGTCTGCGATATTATGAGGAATGTACAACATATCGACATCCTTAACCCATTTTTTGTTCGTCGCAGCAAAATCTGAAATTGTTCATTGATGAGGTTGAAATATCCTGACGGAAACACCCAAGTCTTCTCTTTTCCGAGGAAGTCTCTTTTCTATTCTCGACACCAAAGGGCCGCAAACAACGGATCCACAAAAGCAATCCTTTCACTTTTGAAAGGAGTTRGATTTTTCAAAGACYTYTGTCGGARCAAATTCATGCMAGCAACCATGTGCTGCAAAATAAGATAGAAACGTACTCGATTAGTCTAGCACAACAGATATTAAGTCTACCACCACTACATATTATTAAGTCTACCAC